TAATATAGTTAATACAAGATGGTTATCAATGTCAAATAGTGTAAAAAATTTGCATCAAATATTGGATTCAGTAATTGATGCTTTACGCTATGATATTGAATTAGATAAAAAAAATTATCAAGCAAAAAATTTACTTGATAAATTAGATTATGAATTTGTAATTGCTACTAAATATCTTGCCGATTTAATGTTTATATTAACAAAATTAATCAATATTTTTCAAAAAGAACTTGTAAGTTTTTCTAATGTTAAAATTCATTTAGATACAACATATGATGCAATTACTGCACAATTTATTGGAATTGATGATTCTGCACCCTTATATAGTACTCATTTACGAAAATATATGCAAGATTTTAATATTTCTTCAGAAAATTTACCTTCATTTATTAAAAGCTTTTCCGAAGCAATTATTAGCAATCTAAAATTAAGATTTCCTCAACTAGATTTATATTATTCTTTTAATATATTTGATCCAAAATTATTACTGATAAAAGAAAGTGAACTAGGAAACTATGGCAATCAAGAAATTGAAAAACTTGTTGATTATTATGGTGTAGATAGATTTGATGGCGAAGGAAATATGATTGAGAAAATAATTAATAGTAATGATGCAAAACAGGAATGGGCAGTATCAAAATATTATATAAAACAAATTAGAGGTCAGGATATAGTTGGAGGATGGGAGTATATTTTTAATTTGTATCCGGATTTTCCTAATGAATTTCCAAATATTACTAAATTGGTTAAGATTTCATTAATTATTTCTTTATCAAATGCACAAGTTGAAAGAATATTTTCTCAGCATAAACTTACTAAAACACGGCTAAGAAATAGAATGAATATTGAATCATTAAATAAACATTTAATGATATTACTTAATGGACCTGATGACTTTTGAAAATTTGATTGGAATAAAGCATATGAACATTGGGCCATGAAAGTACGTCGATCAAACTAAATATAAGAACAACTTTATTGTTGTAAGTAATTGCAAATTTTTAATATTATTTTATTTTGTTTATTTTTTTGCGTATCTATTTAAATTTTTTAAATTATTTTAGATTTGCTGGATATAAAGTTCGAAAGAATATAATATAAATTTTTAAAGCTTGAATTAAGCTTTCAAATTAAAACCAAAAACATTAGGGTTTTTGAATTTAAATATTTTACTTAGTACTCAAATATCGATTATTATATAAGACTATTTTTATATATATATTTTCATTTACTTATATTTTTTATATGTATGTATTTTGAACAAAATAAAGTCTGTTTTCTATATAAATAAACAATAAATGAATTCAAAAAATCTCTACTCATGCATTATTAAATTACTAGTTGTCTAAGTAATTTATTGTTATTTTATTATTATCTATCTAATAATACAAATTTTCGCTTCGACTCATCAACATGTAGATCTTTTCATCTTTTGGCGCTCTCACCTATCACCAACCAGTTAATCTTTTTGTTATCCATCATTTATCACCAACCTGTAGATCGAATCGTTAACTATCGTATTTAAAATTTGGGAATGTGGTTAGTTCGAAAGAAATAATTGTCCCTTTTTTTTTTTTTTTTGATTGGTTCGAAAACTTGAAAGTTCATCGATAGAATATTAATATCCAATACCACAATTACTCAGTTTGACACCTCACCTGTATCATTCATCAATAGCACTATTACTTTATCTTCAACCCAAATTTAAAAAATTTATCACTGTTTCTATCTATTCTGTAATACCACGTACCTAAATTTATCCTAATGGACATTTTTGAAATATAGTGCAATTTGTCAAAATCCATTCTTACGAACTGTATGTATATGTGCATACATACTTATGGGCCCATATTATTTCTTTTCCCTAACATTTTTTCCCCAGCATTTATTTGCCTGGAATAGCGAGTAATGGAATTTCTTACAGTAATTTGTGGTAAAAATCATGGTAATTCCAATACAAATTAACTCAACCATAACCACATGTAGTGTGTTAACAAATATAAGAGTAAGATCTGTATCAGAATTTTTACAGTAGAAATCACTATAATTCCAATGCAACCTTAAATACATATTGTGTATTACCAAATAGTTAGTAAATTATGTAAGTGTTTTTTACAGCACTGTACCTTATGATAAAATCACAATAATTCCAATGTGTCATCTGTATAGCAAATTCTGTAGTGGAGTTTTTTACTCATCCCTATAAGAAAAATGTACGGGTCAAGATCCGGATTTATACAGGTATGGTCCGAGTTGGTACAGATTCGGTGGACCGTGTGAGATCGTATGCCCGTGCCAATTGGACTGTAAATGGCTCAGGTTTTGCAGCAGTTTACTAGTCAAATCGACACGGGATTTGGCACAGGAAAATTCACGTACGTTGTGAAAGGCGAAAAGGCATCGGCCTATGTTTACTATTATTTTTTTTTTATATATATATATCTTATTTTTATTATTATTATTATTTCTTTTAGTATGTTGTTCTAAATATAGTATCCAAATTAGTTAGTCTCTGTAGTTCGACCCAGCCCCAAAATTAGATATTACCTTATTTGTAAAGTGCATGTCGCACTGAGTATTCTTCTGTCACTTCTGACACTTCGGTCAGATCGGTCACTTATGACAGTTCTGACAGATCGGTCACTTATGGCAGTTTGGTCATATCAGACCTTACTGACAGAAAGGATATTTCGCTCATTTTCAAACCTGTAATTTGATAAGGTTGTAAAAAGTATATAAGCAACGTTCTTGTTGCCCTGAAATAAAGCAGAACTTAACTAAGCTAAGACCTTCGAAATCAGAGTAGAAGTATTAGTGCTGAATAGTTGTTCTTTGACAAATCAAAGTAATCTGTTATACCCATATACTTATCTTGATTTCTTATAATAAAATCCGTGAAACTATTATTCTCCATAAATTGTTAGTCACATTCGTTAAACCCGATTTCGTGTGCCTTGAAACTTCGTAAAAGAAGAAATCCCAATTGATTAGTAGAACCCTTACACATACCCTCTTATATAGTGAAAATACCCGATCGCTTTTGAGGTCTATTGTTATCACTTATTAGTATAACAATTAATTAATTGATCGAATTAATTGCATAATTTCTCGTGACGTATTATACCCATGATGCAGTTAATAAATTGAAGATCAGCTCCGCAGATATTGATTACCCGTGACGTAATAGAGATCATCAATAAGAATCCTAACGATCGAAGTCAAAGATTAAATCACCGAACATCACAGATATCGTGATTACGTAACCCGTGACCCCAAACTAAGCAGTGCCTTCGGATTAGAATAAATAGAAGCAATTAGTATTGGATAACTGAGAGATAATCAAACCCGATATATAAGCAATCAGAAGACTTATCCAGGCCAGGCAAACATTCTCATAAGACCAAAAGCTCTAAGAACTCGGACCAAGTCTCTCCACGCCTCTATTCGAAGCCTTCCACCTTGGAGTTTGGTTTTGTTAGATTGTTTGTAGATTAGTTTCCGTAGTTTAGAGTCGTGATTTGTTAGTCTTAGCGATATAGCGATTGGTCATCACCTTCTCAACGTACCACCGCGATAACAAATATAAACATGTGGATTAAAGATTAAACCATCTAATTTACATTAGTAATCAATATAATATGAACAAACTAATTGCATATGAAGTAAAATTTTGTAAGGAGTTTTTTTTTGTTAAGATATCCAGAGCAGCTTCATCAGTGAAATTATGAGATATTGCACTTTTTTAAAAAAATCATTTATTGATCTTTCACTCTCACCAACACGTATACAACGTGCTGAACGTGACGTTCCATATGACGTGATATAACGTTCCATCTCTTGCCGTAATGCCCGTGCCATTTTTCACCGTGCCATTCTGTAAAACACGCCTGTGCATGCCACACGATCTGTGCCATTCCGCGCATTCCTGAAACCAACCCGTACCACTTTCTTATAGAGCATTAATTCCAATTCAAATCATCTAAACCTTAAGCACATACTGTGTACACCAGAATAGTAAATTCTGTAGCAATTTTTTATTCAAAATCTATGGATTTACAGAATTGAAAGGAAAAAAGTTTATTGAATGTGGTTGCTGAGATATCTTCGCTCAAAGGTTTAAAAAAATCAAATTGCTATCAAAACAAATTGTCCTAAAATTCTTTAAACTTTAAGCAAAAATATCTCAGCAACCACCAAGCCAAATTCTTTTTTTTTATTTGAATTCTAAGGATTCATAGAATTTAAATAAAAAATATTTAGCAGCTTTGATATTGTGATCTATCAATACAGAAGTTGCGGCAAAATTTTTCTAACCTTTTGTGTGAAGATATCTCACCAACCACCAGGCCAAATATGATAATTTTTTAAAATTAAATCCTATGCATCAATATAACCCAAATAAAAAAGGATTCATTGAATTTTATCTGATAGTTGCTGAGATATCTTCGCTCAAAGTTTAGAAAAAATTTTGCCATAGCTTCTATATTAATAGCGGGTTAAGTTTTTTAAAAATTAAAACGAAGATATCTCAACAATCACAAATTAAATCTGCTAAATATTTTTTTATTTCAATTCTGTGAATCTTTAGAATTCAAATAAAAAAAGATTATCGAATTTGGTTTGGTGGTTGCTTAGATATTTTCGCTTAAAGTTAAAGAAATTTTAGTACAATTTGTTTTGATAGCATTTGATTTTTTTAACCTTTGAGCGAAGATATCTCAACAACCACCAAGTCAAATTCGATAAAGTTTTTTTTTTTCAATTCTATGAATCTGAATAAAAAAAAGTTCATCAAATTTGACCTAGTGGTTGCTAAGATACATTTGCTCAAAGTTTAAAAAAATTTTAATCTGTAGGGGAGTATGAATTATAAATTTGGGGTATAAAAAATAATCTCCTTAATGCCACATAGTGCTTTTTTTGTAATTGTGTGCAAAATTGTTGTATCAATGCAGCTGTTTACTATTTTTTCCATTTGCCACACAGAATAAATTTATAAATTGTGCGGCAGTCACAAAATCAAAAAAGTAATACTGCGCACAGCTACTTTTTGTAATTGTGCGCAAAAGTAGTCTCGCTATGTAGCTGCGCACAGTTTTTTGATTAGCCGCACAGAAAAAAGATATAAATTGTGCGGCATCCGCACAGTAAATTTTCATTGAAAAATGAACACTGGTCCCGGACTTACCAGAGATCAAACAGATTAGGTACCCACATGATTCATGGGTTCAAACAGATTATTAGTCTCCGTGCTATATCGATATCGGATCAGGGTTTACTGTATTTCAGTATTTTTTATATTGATACAGTATGTTTTAATATATCAATATAAAAAATACTCATGAGGAGTTCAGGAGGTCAGTTTCCTTTTCTGGGTTTGCATCACTTACTCACACGAGTGTTTTGTTGTTTTGTTTTGTTTTTTTTTTATTTTTCCCATGATCTCCGTGATTTACGGATTTGGGGTAAACACACCCGCGTATTATTGTTATGAAATATTTGTTTATATAAACCCTCTCCATTTGATTTTTTTTTTTTTCTTTAGAACATGCCTATGTCTGATAGTAATTTAGACCCTTTTTAGACTAGTTATCGCATCGGGGGGACTATAAGCTCGTCTGGTTATTTACCTTTAGTGCAGACCGGTAACGTCTTGACGTGCACCGTTAGGCCTCCTAAAGCTGAATAATGTCGAGGCGATTAGACTGTCCCGTTAAAGAATGTACTCTACCCATCTTTAATGAAATATTAGTGGGTTTACTTTTTACTGGTGCAGATAAGGAATGTTCTCATTCCCTTTTTACGTTTTTCTTTGCCTTTTTTTTTTTTAAAAAGAAAAACGGTTTTTGGGCTTAATACGATGACGGAATTGACTTTTAAAATAATATTTTTATTTTGGTC